TTCCACTTTCAAAATTCATCAAACAGGGCCATATGTTTGACATCCCTGATCTAGAAGATTTCACAGCTTTTTCTAAACTCTGTACCGACCAAAACCAACAGATTTAGCTCCAACCGCTTCACTGACCAGTTCCTTTATGTGTCTGCAGGCGGCGCTGATGGCTGAGGAGCTGAAGAAGGAGCAGGACCACAGCTGCTTGTTGGAGAGAATGAAGAAGAATATGGATTCCACAGCAAAAGGTACTCACTGTATATACTGTAGGTGTGGATATGGTGATGGAGGTGCAGGGAATGACTGTCTTCCGTTTGATGTCGGACAGATCTGCAGATCAAGCTGGATGAGACCGAGCAGATGGCAATCAAAGGAGGAAAGAAACAGTTACATAAACTGGAGACAAGAGTGAGTGAAAACTGACAACAGGCAACGGCACAGTTTGTCTGTCAGTAATAAACAAATACATGAACACCTTAAGACAGATCCCAGTTATCTGTGCAGAGTGACACTGGGTTATTCTAGTATCTTCACTTTGCTTAAATTCTATCACATACAAGTAGAAGTACCATCTAAAAATCTACTCGAGTAAAAGTAAAAGTAATAAAATACTTCATTTGAAATTTACTTTGAGTAAAAGTTACTTTGTTACTTTAAATTACTTGATCTCTGGCTACATAAACGTAGTGGGAAATCCATGTGGGTAATTAAGATAACGCAGATTGTTTTCCCCCGCATTTAATTTTTTACTCACTAACTGGTTCTTGTCAAATGTAACGGGGAAATGCTTGTATCAAAATGTACTCAAGTAGAAGTAAAGTTACCCATTTCTGAAACTACTTAAACATTACAAATTACTTAGAGAAACTATTCAGTTACAGTAACATGAATAAATGGAATACGTCAAGCTGCTAGCTTGTCATGTTGACAAGCTAACATCTGGAAGTTTGTTGTTGAGAAAAAAACAAAAACAAAAACACAGCAGTCTCCCATTAAAATTTTTAAAATGAATTCGTAGGTACGTGAGCTGCAGGCGGAGCTGATGCTGGAGCAGAAAAAGACCGAGGAGTATCAGAAAGGTGTCCGTCGCTACGAGAAACGAGTCAAAGAGCTGACCTACCAGGTCTGGTAGCGATGATGTCATTACCCTTTGACCATGTTTTCTTGCAGTTTTTTATTTGAAATTTTCATTTATAACCTCTAACCCTACAGTCTGCGGAGGACAGAAAGACGCTGCTGCAGATGCAGGAGCTCATCGAGAAACTCCAGACCAAAGTCAAGAGCTACAAGAGACAAGCAGAAACGGCTGTAAGTCTCGTTTTAACCCCAGTGTTTAAAGTGCCTCTGACCACGTGACAATGCCGAGTCTGTTTGCTTCCACCAGGAGGAGCAGGTGAGCTGCAGTGGCGTACGCTACAAGAAAATTCAACATGAGCTGGACGATGCCGAGGAGAGAGCAGACATCGCAGAGACCACTGTCAACAAGCTGCGCGTACGAACACGACAACAGACCACGAAATTCACCCTGGTGAGACAACACAAATATCCGACATATGATTCTGGGTAACATTCAGCTACATTTCACTCTTAGCTAACTCCTCTCAGGTATCTTGTTTTTCACAATTCATTTATTATGGTTGTAATTGTTTTTAATCTCAATAATACATATACATATATATCTATATATGTATATATATATTTATTTAAAAATTTTTTTTACAGATTGCAGAGTGACAATCTCTCACCACTGAAGACGCCGCTGGCGATTCTTCCATCCATCCCTGACATTTGATTATTTTGTGTTCTAGTCTGTGCTGCGAAGGAATTCTGGCTTGACATTTGAATCTGTATCCGCACACGATTGTTTCTGTTTTACGTCACTAAAAAGGTTTGCAGTGTGAAACTGAACAGGAAATGCCAGAAGTCCGTGGAGGGGGAATGTGGCCGAGAGTGAAGTCGTCTGGTTTTAAAACTGTGATGGTAGTTAAAGAGAGAAGAAATACGTACTACATCTAAACAGTTAAGGGATGTCCGATAATACAGGCTAACCAATAATATTGACTGATATTAGCATAATTATGTAGTATCGGTAAATAATCAGTTTTTCCTCCGATAACGAAAACGCGATAACGCGATGCCTGGGTTTCTCCCAGATGATGGTGACCTAAAAATAGTGAAAGTGAAAGTGAATTACTGTCATTGTGACAAAGCAAACGACTGCATACAGTGAAACCTGTCGTCTGCTTTGACCCCAAACGGCTGCATATATCGGTATCGGTTGATATCGGCATTTGGACAATATCGGCAAAAAGTTAATATCGGACATCTCTATTTCAGTTACATTGTTCTTCCTCTCCTAGTTTGCTTTAATATTTACTGTTTCATTTGTGACTGTATTAAATGCTAAGCTAACAATATTTTTCCATTGACTTAATTGTATATCTTTTGGACAGTTTATATTTAACCCTACCTAGCATTCAGGTTTTCTTTGGCCAAAACTTGACCAACTCCAAGTTGAAGTTGCACGTCTATTCACCAGCTGTGAACAACGTACAGTAGCCACGAGCTTGTTTTCTACTTGCTTTCACTACTTTACAGCTATATTTTTCGCTTTTGTTTGAGGTGCTTAAGTTATAGCATTGGTTACGAGTCAAGTTATTTCCTTGTTTACATTTGAAAACAAAGATCTGGCTGAGATATGGCCAAGGATTTCCTTCTCCTTCTGAGTCATCTGCTCCACAGGAGCTCTCCGCTTGGCAATCCTCAACCTCCAGTTTCTGTTCATCACCAGCCGTCACCCAATGACAGCCTAGAGCCAATGTCAATGTTATCTGGCTACATAAAAAACAGCAGGAAATCCGCGCTTGCACGCCCACGCAATTTTCTTTCAGTTACCGCATTCAATTTTTTACTTAGTAAAATGACCTATTCCTGAAACTAAATTAAAAAACCGACAAATTACTCACACAAAAAACAACTCAATTATAGTAATGTGAGTAAATGTAATTTGTTACATTCCTGGAGAAAACCCAACACATACAATCTGGAGGACATGCAAACTCGGTACAGAGAGAGAAATCAACTAGAGAAACTAGCGAACAAGTGATCATTTATCTGCAAAGGCGAAGTGTTCCAACAGTTGCCACCACTACTAGTCCAGTTATCCTGACGACACCCAGCAGCTGGGGTCGTCCAGAGCACAGCACCGACGTTGTAAGAATAAAAACCCACAGTAAAGGGCTTCAACAATTTATTCACAAAAACTAAACCTTGACACATCTCCATAGGAATGAGCACATTAACCTCCTGGTGTGTTAGATCCGAACATCGGTCCACTCATTCTCCAGTTAATGCTTCAGCAGTTTCTCCTTCAGTGTGTGTGTCTGTGTAGGTGCGTGTGTGCTTGCGTTAAAAAAAAACAAAAAAACACCTAAACATTTACAAGTACATTCAAACAAACCAGGAGGTTTGTGGGTTGTTGTTTTTTTTTTTTCAACATAAGTGTTGGAGTGCAGACAGAACCACAGAGTAGAGAAAAGTAAAAATAAAAACCATTAACCACAGTTTTCACTCCTAACACACGTTTACGATGATGATGATGGTGGTGATGTAGAAGCAGGTGTTTCCTGTTTTTTGGAGCTAGTTTGTGTAACCCAGGCATAGGCAAACTACGGCCCGGGGGCCGGATGCGGCACGTTCAGCTAATTTGCACCCCCAAACTTGTCCCAATTATATAATGAATTCATATTATCATTATGTTTCTGCCTTTTCCCTGCAATGCCCACATATCCCCAATAGATGGCGTAGAAAAGGCTTAATGCATTTTAGCCTTTATACATGACTTTTACATTTCATTTATCTTAGTTCACACGAACGCTCCATCTATCTGCTCCTGACCCGGCCCCCCCCCTTGTCCAATTTTAGGACCATCTGTGGCCCGCGAGTCAATAAGTTAGCCCACGCCTGGTGTAGCCCATTAAAGAATTAGAGGTGTTTTTTCGTAAGAAAATTCTGAAAGTTTTACTTCGATTTTAGACTCTGTCAAAGTTCAGATTGAGGGTACTGGCCAACTGCTGGTTAGCAATTAGGATGATGTAATTATGTTTAGCTAGCATACCAGCCTAAAGGAACTTACAGTACTTACTAATAAGCAAGCAGCAAACTTTGCAAGCTAACTAGCTAGTTGAACCTAAACCCCGCTGCGAACACTAAGCTTGAAGTATAAAAAGCTTGATGTGTTAACAGTCAGGAAATTTACTGGCTCCTTAGTTGAAAAAAATACCAAAAAAAAAAACAACCCTTCTCATAGCAGCTAACACTTGCGATAGCCATGAGTAGAAATTGTAGCAGGGCATTATAATTTCCAGACGTTTTTTTTTTTTTTTTTTTTTTTTAAAGAATTATTATATCAACGGAGACAAACTTGCAAAGCTTGAGGAGAATGGAAATAAAGTATTAATCCAAATACGTGACGTGTTGATGGTATTTGTTCATTTCTTTTCGTATTAGTAAAGTCGGTTCGGTAACTTTTTTTTATAGCGTAAAAATCGTCTTGACTAATCAGGTTCAGGTTCTGTTTTAATGCTTTTCTTCATTTTTGTTTGATCAAGTTTAACACTTTCTTTAAATTTTTAAATATATATATATATTGTATTTCTACAGTTATATTCACACTATTTAAAATAGGGAATCCGGGGAGTTTTAAGAGGCTAAAAGACCATAAAAATATGAAAGAAAAAAAACGAGATATGTTGGTTCCACATGAGTTAGTCAAGGGGGGGGAAAAAAAAAAAACAGTCAGTGAAACCATCATGCAGTTCGCTCTGACTGACAGAAACCATCATGCAGTTCGCTCTGACTGACGCAGCAGAGCTGCAGTCCATCATATGAGCTGTGGACGTCTTCGGTTACCATGGTAACCAACACTGACGTTATTGGAAACAATACAAAAAAACCAGAAGCGACATTATTAAAAATGTGACCAACACTGACGTTATTGGAAACAATAAAAAAAAAACAAAAAACGGAAGCGACATTATTCAAAATGTGACAGTTTCAGATGTTTGCATCTCTTGACAGTGTATGGGAGAAGAATATTCTAGAAGACTGAAAACAAATACTGCCACTGAGAGGAACGAAGAAAAGAAGCAGGTTAGAAAGAATGGGGAAAAAAAACGAAGAAAGAAAAAAAAAAAAAAAAACAGAGACAGAGGTAGTAAATAAGGGAGATGGGAGAAAAAGAAGGACAGGCAAAGTTAAAAGGTCTCCACGACAGGCTGCTTCTTTTCCTGCTCTTCATCATAGTCAACCTTAGACTCCTCCCAGTTTCCGATCACTGGCTCCTCCCCCTTCACAAGCCAACTTAAGAGGAGAGACAGCAAAGTCTTCAAAGACGTCAAGAGTTTGAATCCCAGCATGTCCCTGAGCAGCAGCGTGATGATGTTACATTAACGGCAGAAGGTGATTGGTGTGGTGGATGTTGAAGGCGTCAGCTGTGGATGACCCCGCCCTCCTCCTTCAGGCTGTTATCGGCGGAGCCGAGCAGCAACTGAGTGAGAGGATTATCCCTTCCAGCCGTCCCAGATAGGACCACTGGGGAGGTGGGNAAAACATATATATATATTACTCTTCATATACATTAAATAAAAAACAGTGGCATGAATTGTGGAATGGATTTCTGGCCATGAAAGAAATTTGCCATGTAATGGGGAGGTGACACGAAATGCGACAGAGACAAAAGAAAAAGGTCGAAACGCCTGTATCGCGTCTCTGGAGTGGCACTGAGCAGGAGCTCCGTCTGAATGACAGCGGTAAAACAAGGCACAGAAAGTCCCCAAAATGTATGAGAGCGCACCTCCTGGCTAACTTCAGCCCATGCCTCTTCCTTTTTTTATTCCTGATAAAGTGGTGTCGGTGCCCACACGTGGCGATGATAAGCTTGTCTGTTTAACTTTAAACTCATCGCTGAGTGGATGTCGTGGCGCAACGCCATTTGCGTTGCCTCAGACGCTCTTTCGCTTCATCCGCTTCAGCTCCGATCGCACCGCCTGATATTAACTTAGCTGTTGTCGCACCGTTTACATTGATTGTGTACGAGGAGCTGCCGCTCAATCCGTGACCTATTGCTTTGGCTGCGAACGCCCCATAAGTGTTTGAAAGTGTTTTCAAAGTTTGACACTTACATGTTAGCAACAAGGCTAACATCGTCCAAGAAAATATAGTTTAAAAAAATTAAGCAAACACATTAGGGATGTCAGATATTAAATTTTTGCTAATATTCGATATGTGAATATTGTCCAACACTTAATTTCCGATTCCGATATCAACAGTTATCAATATATGCGGCTGTTTGACAGCAACACTGCGGTAAACGTCGCAGGCCCCCATATGCGATTCCAGCACAGTTAGCAAAACCCAGGCATGCGTTATCGGATTTTCATTATCGGATTTTCATTATCGGATGATGATAACGGATATTAAATAAAAATGCTAATATTGGGCCGATATTACACATCTCTAATACTGTATATATGCAAAATTGCGAAAACATTGCGTTATCGGATTTTCATTATCGGATATTAAATAAAAATGCTAATATCGGGCCGATATTACACATCCCTAATACTGTATATATGCAAAATTGCAGATAAATGGCAGAAAATAGTTTGCTTATACCACCAGGGGGTGCTAAAAGTCCAGTCTACTGACTACACCGTTTGTCTCTCAGATGATTACGATGTCAGAAAAGATCAGATTTGATGAAATCGTATTTAGATGTTAGATCGCTAGAAGACAAACCAAAAACAAATTCGCACACAGAGATTTGCAGTGACACATCAAGTTAGAGTGTGAGCGGTGAGTGGGCGGGGTTAGTAGGTGACGAGGGATGGAGATGATTAGGCAGCAGTGCAGTGGACAACTCACAGGGTTCGAGTAGATGAGGGTTTCTTCACTTTTGGCCAATTCCTCTTTTCAAACACCCTGATGTAACAAACACACACCGACACGGTTACACAAACACACACAAACCCACACTCACCCCTTGCGGTCCGTCAGGTAAACATGCAGCACATAAAGCAGGAAAGGGAGTATGTGTGCAGGTACTATGTGCAGGTACTATGTATGTGTGTGTGTGCGTACCTGTAGTCTTCAAAGCTTCCATTTTCCCGTCCTCCTTTAAAGATACAAAGTAAATGTTGGTGAATAGAAGTTGGTAGAATGAATAATAACGTCAGCATTTTATTTCTGTATTTGTTTGTCTCCTCACTTCAGAGGAACTTAAAATACTACTAATGAGAACTCCTCGGTTTTACCACGTCCTCGACTTACAGCGTTTCGCAGTTACATCGTCATCTCCCATAAATGTATCGAGAAAGTCTTGTTGCATCGTTCCGACAAATGCCGTTAAAACACTGCTGTTCGCATGGGCACTAGTTGCCAGTGTAGCGAATACGTTGTCACACAGCGCTATACACGTAAGATGGCTTTGTTTACCTTCGCCGGTTCTACGCCGTACATCGGATTATGCTGCATTCACTTTCTTCCGTTTGTGTTGTTCATTTATTTTGTATTATTGCTCACAAGCACAAGTCAGAGGCTGTGTCAAAAATCACTCACTCATTCCCCAACCCCTGGTTCGTGTACCGGTACCAGTCCGTAGGGCATTTGTTACCAGGCCAGAGTGAAACACAGCAAAAAAAATTGTACTTCAGTTTTACTAATTTACTTCATTCAAAAAGAATCCAGTCATATCCCTTTATTTTTTTAATTCAAAGATAAACTGTCAGTGTTTCAAAACAACAGGTCATTCAGACTCTGATACTGACAGAATAAAGTCGAAAAGATGTTTTATTTTGACAAATTTTGAAAATGCTACTGGTCTGCAGTAACGGCCAGTACCTGCCGACAGTTAAATGACGTAATACTGTCGCACAATTACAACAGACAGACAGATCCTGCTCCTCTCTCCGCAATGTCGTCACAACTGCAATGCATGATGGGATACATTGTATTGCCTAGTGTACATTAAATGCACACCAGATTTCATATTGTCGGATTTCGTAGTGCATTGTGGGATACATTTGCACTATGTATGGCAATGTGCCACAAAGGGCAGCTGTGGCTGCAGGTTTTTGTTTCAACCAAGCAGTAGCACACCTGAGTTGACAGGTTCGAAGGTCAGTCTTCAGACAGCTGATTGGTCAAACCATATGCTCCTGGTTGGTTGGAACAAAAATGCAATAAAGGAAAATAAAATTTTCACAGGGCATTCATAAACGACTATTTAAAATAGCAACTAATTTCACTTCATGCAGGCCTCCACTGTGACTCTTTGGCGCCCCCCAATGGAAGGCGCGCGCGCCTCACCTATTGAAAACCACCGGTCTAGTACGTGAGTTCCGACTTTGGAAATTTGTGGTACGTCGCGCTGTATGAAAAGAACTCGACGACCCCCTGAATTGTCATTTCTTTTCTATCTTTCTATATATATATCCGTGTGCGTGCGTGTGTTTTACCAGGTTCCATTGAACGCGTCCGAGGGTTACACTGCTTGTGTCCTTTGCAGCCTCTGAGCTCCATCAACTGAACGTGAAGCTGATTCAACATGGTTCGATCCAAGGTGCTAACCCCGTTAATGAGCTGTGGAGAAGCAGAGAGAGAGAGAGACAGAGAAAGAGAGAGAGAGAATGAGAGAGAGTTTCCATCTTAAAGTGCAAACGTGTTTTTTCGTACAAGTTTCAAATTCAAGATGAAAATATGGATCTGTTACCTGATACGGATCTGTGGTGAGGTCAAAATACTCCAGGAACCCTGTGGCAAACTCACAAAACAGGAAGTTGTGTGTCTCATTGATGGTCCTCAGACACCAGTAGGTGTTGTTGTTCGCACTGGTGCAAGCACAGAAAGGTCCCACTGTGACACACACACGCACGAACACACACACACAGTCAACATCAATATACACACACACGTGTGCCAGTGTTCAAATCAAAAATAAATGTGCCATACATGTCCAATAGGGGGCAGTCTGCCAGTGCTGGTTGTCGTGTGTGAAGCAGGTGAGTCCAGGCATGGAACACGTGTCATTGTTCTTGATCCTCTTTATCATCTTCCTCATCTTCTTCCTCCTCTTCTGCTCCTTCAGAAGCCACGCCTTCTTGTCTCGAGCTCCACCCTTTCTGCAACAGGCACACACATAAAAAAAAAATATCTGACTATCCACACCACGTGTCAAACTCAAGGCCCGGGGGGCCAGATGTAGCCCGCCAGGTTGTCTTGTACGGCCCGTGGGTTTAATTTAATAAAGTCCTTGCAGCTGAATTTCTTAACCTAATAAATTAAATAAACATTTTTTTTATTACACAGCAATCAACCATATTTTTACCTTATATAAATAACAACCAATTGCAGAAACAATTATTAATAGGTTATGGAGTAGTTACATCTGTACAGTCTGCCGTTTACAACCGGCCCTTCAGGGGGAATTGTATAGCTGATATCGCCCCCTGGTGGAAATGAGTTGACATCCCTGATCTACACGGAGAACAGATACGTCTTTGTGTCTCAAAATACAATTAAAGAGTTGTATAATTTGAAAATAGTTAAAAAAAAGAGTTGACTTTATTTCTCACCTGAAGGGGTGGTGGATGCTGCTGCGGTGTTTTAGCTTGTTTCTCAGTTTGAATGCGTACCTGAGACACACACATACATGGAATTTAGCAATACTGTCAAGAGTAAAAACAACTAAAAAAACAGGGTTTGTACGCATTTTAGCAGTAGTTTAACTCCATAACCATTGATTGAATTTCCAGGTTCGAGGGTTTGTACGCATTTTAGCAGTAGTTTTCCATAACTCCATAACATTTTATTGAATTTCCACATCTGAAAAATGAACACATTTCAGTTGGACCATTGAAAATTATTGAGGTGCACAAAGCAAACAAAAAAAAAATAGCATTTAATTTATTCACCCATATTAGCCATGTGATATTTCCAAGACTTCAGCAAAAAAAAAATCCTTAACTTCAAAAACCTAGATTATGGAGTTTCACTTTTTTTTAAAAAACTCTTCCAGGTTTTCCAGGACTGTACAAATCCTGTTAGAAGTTCAAAATGTAAAAATGTAAAAAGTAAATGCAAATAGTAAAAAAGTCAACCAACAGGTTGGATCTGTGAACTGGTTGACTCTACTCACCGGTATTTGTTACAGTCACACTCCAGGGGACGGGCCTTCTTCAAGTGACCTCTCACGTCTCTCAGGTTTTTGATCTTGGTCTGCAGAGTCTCGATCTGAAAGGAACATTAGTCACTGACCTAGTCACGGGACTTGATCTAGTTTCTAGTTTTTGATTGAGTTTTCAAACTGATTTGCCACTTTATTATGGTGGGTTTTTTTTTTTTTAGTGCAAGGAAGACAAGGAGTTGACCCAACATATCTTAATAATTTTACAAATTTAAATTATTTTTTTTTTATAATTTGACTGGACATCATTGATACTAGTGATGGCCACAAAAATGATGAAGGTTTACAGTCATTTTCTGTTTGATGTTTAATCCATCCATCCATTTTCATCCGCTTATCCGTTACCGGGTCGCGGGGGCAGCACCCAAATCACACTGCGCTGTACCAATCCCCCTGAACCTTCCTGTAGGTGGTGAGTCCACTGGAAGGTACCAACCGCCCTAACCGGGATTCGATCTTGCCCAGGAGGTAAACCCAGGGGTTCCACACCAATGACAGAGACATTACCTCTGAGCCAAAACGTCACTTGATGTTTAATATCTATTTTAAATTTCAATAATTGGTCTGTTTGTCTCCATGTAAGAGTTTAAAAAAATACCAAGAATGCATAAAAATAATCAAAAAAAAAAAAATAAAGAGTGTTGATTAGGGTTTAGCAGAAATGGGAAAACCACTGCTCTCCTTGGTTGGTACCTGCTTACAAAAGTGGAGACATAAATCTACAGAAGGACAAGTGATCAATTGTTTTGACAGTGACAGCTCTGTCCTCCGGGGCAGGCATGTTTTACATGGCATGTAGAAGTTATTGCCCACTTTGCATTTGAAAACAAAGATCTGGCTGAGATATGGCCAAGGATTGCCTTCTGTTTCTGACTCATCTGCTCCACAGGAGCTCTCTGCTTGGCAATCGTCAACCTCCATTTTTTGTTTGGCACCAGCCGTCATCCAATCAGCGGGAAATCCACACAGACACACACAATTTCTTCCAGTTAACGTAGCCACTTCATTTTTTTTTTCTTACTCACTAACAGGTTCTTTTCAAATGGAGCGAAGGAAAATACTTGAGTCAACATGTACTTAAAAAAAAAAGTAAAAGTAAAATTACCTATTCCAGAAACTACTTACAAAATTACAAATTACTCGCAAAGACTACTCAATTACTGTAACTTGAGTAAATGTAATTTGTTACTTTCCATCCCTGGTAAAAAATACATTTTTACAACAGGTTCATTATTTTTTTTAAATTCCTTTTTTTCCTTTTTTTATTTAAGCTGTGTAATGGGGGAGGGAGGAAAGAAAGGAGTGTTACCTCGTGGTCTATGTGCAGTTTGTGGTCTTTCCAAGCCTGCAGGGACTGATACACTCCAGTGTCACACTTCACTGTGGCATTAGGGAGGATCGAGCATCTGTGGGTAAACAAGAAGAATTAGAACAATTTATTCAGCTGTGATTTTAACCTGTGCCTGTGAGCAAAAAGCAGACTCACTAACCACCGGGGTGCAATAAATGTTATGTTTTAACACTAAGTACAGCTATATGAAAAAATAAAGGAGATCACCTCAGGCTTTTTCATTGGTGGTCTTGAATCGCGTGACCACGGCACCAGGCCACAAACAAATGATCTAATTGCTGATGACACTGGTTTTATCATGCCCCCACCCCCCCCCAAAGGTGCGCGGTAAGGTACCAGGAGGGGGCGTGAGGGGCTTCCAATGGAATATGGCACGCTGGACATAAGTGTCCCACTGCTGTAATGCTTGAATGATAACAAGCCTCCAGACACTAGGTGGCAGCAACTCATACAGTGGTTTGTACAGGTAAATATATATATGTATGTATATATAAATATATAATATACATGTTATCAGGTTCTCAATAGAATTTCAATTCGCGGGGGTGTGGGTCGGAGGGAGGTTGGCAGGGCGTGAAAACATTTCTGTCCTGACAACCGAGAAGTGACATTAGCATATGGAAGTTAAGGAGGAAAACCAGCTAGCTGTGCGGAAAATACGTTACGTTACGGACTATCAAGCCGTTGGATCAGCACGTCTTCAAGTGCAAGTACGTGAATGATGTACCATGTCTAATACTGATACTTCTAGTAGTATCAGAGCGTCCCCAATAATAAGCATTTACAAAACTGCAAAAATGAGTTAGTGATGCAACAATCAGTTTTTAAAAATTGATTTTTAAAAATCATTAAAATTCTAAAAAAAACTAAATCTTACCTGTGTGTGACCTTAATTGAGTTTGAAGGCAGAGCCACAATCCTTGGATCTTTGCCCATTCCACTGAACTCCTCCTCCTCCTCCTCCTCCTCCATCTCTGCGCCCCCTGTAAGGCTGTAGTTACCCGGCGTACCATTGTTTAGGAGCGCAGAGCGAGTGTAACGGTTTCTGGAGTAACTCTTTAGAGCTTTAATCTCTGAAAATACACACAATCACACACATTCATTTATCTTGTCTTCACACCTTTATTAAATAATAGGTTGTGTTCGTAATTTTCATTAAGATATTTCTACCAAACTCTTCTCATTTCATGCAATATTAATACATAATGTATCTATTGTGTATCAGCACGTTTTCTACCCATTATTTCAAGTAGTGTTTTAATCTTTAAAACAGAATTCGATATTTGTTTTTGCCTAATCTGTTGTAGGGCTGCAGAACTGACTAGTGGCTTATAACGCAAACATTTCTATGTGGAAGGTCTGGAAGGCTTCAGGTTCAAGTCCACTAGCTGCCACTTTCACTTTAGTCTGCAGCAGTTTGGTCATTAGTACCGAGTTGATGTTGTTCTATGGTTCTACACTAGAGGGCGCTGTCACCTCAAAAGAAAGCGCGAGCCCTCTGGTGAGTTGTGATCTTGGAAAAGAGGTTTTTCAAAAATTCTACATTGTGACCTTCCCTTCCTCCCTCTACTTTTCTTCTCCTGTTTCCACTGCACCATTACTAGTTGAGATGTCGATTTTTACTGAACTTATTCAATGTTTTTTCTCATTTTGTTTCGGCACACTCTGAAAACCTTGGTAGTTTGCCCTCTCGATAAACAAACAAACAAAAAAAAAAAGACAGCTAAGAAAAAAAAATGTAACAAACCAAGAAACTTGTTCAATCTAAACCAGCTACAGTCAGCCACAGGTTATTGCTAGAACAATACTGCCCCCTGGAGACTTCACATTAACACTTACTTTTTCTAGAGAAGAAAGGTTTGTTGTTGAATGGTTTCATAACGGACGGACGCAGGTTTAGAGATCGTAAATCCGTCAGGTCACAGTCACATTTGTGCGGGCTGCGCTGGTACGTTTGAGCCTTGAAGCTGATTGGACGCTGCTGACCAACCACGCCTCTCTGGAGTCTTTTGGCTCCGCCCTCTTCATTCTTGCATTTGTGGAGTCGCAGTTTTCCTGTGGCGTCCTCCACACACTGCCACTTCTACACAGAGATACACAAGAAAAATAAAGTAAGTAAAAAATAAAATGTCACAGAAAAACGTATTTGACAGCAACTTTCATGGGTAACACTGATGCACACACACGCCAAAGGCAGACGAAAGACACAGGATGGGTTGAGTGATGAGAAGTTTCCGGGACATGATTGGTTGGCTTGTTGGTGGCAACTTTGATAACAGCATGATTTTAGAGAGCCATGTGTGGAACAAAGACCGTTTCTATCACCGCAGAACAAGTCTACACTGTCACCAAGTCATACTGTCTCTCCTACACC